ACCTTTAAGATCAACAAATTTTTATTCTGGGTATAAGCTTACATGTGCATGCACACTTACTCAGTTTATACCCAGAATAAAACTTTGTTGGTTCCTTTCATCTGTGAACCCCACATTTTAATTACCTTTCCTCAGTTTTTTTCCTCTCCTTCCCCCATTGCATTAGATACATACAGTTTATAAAGTTGCATCCTGAATTATTTATAAAGTTGGTTGGAGTGAGGGTGGGTTTATTTTTTATTTATTTATTTAATTTTCGACTTCTATCGCTCTGACCCCGAAGGGTCTCTGAGCGGTTTACACAATTATTCAACCTAACTAGGGCCACATTATTTGTATGGGAGGTGATAGCCTACCAGCACCCCAGCCGCGGGCTTAGTTGTTGTTCAGTTCCTGGCTCGGCTCGGCTGTTGCTCAGTTCCTGGCAGCTCTTCGGCGCTTCACTTCCTGGCGCCCGGAACAGGTCTTTAATCCGCTCCTCCTTCCGGTCGGCTTCACCCGGTGCTTGGCAACACGCCAGCTGCAGCTCCGGTTCTGTCCCACAGGCTCCACCACGCCGCGTAATAGACATATTACCTTTATCCAGTTTTTCAGGCTTTCAAGATTCAAAGCTGCCTTCATCAGATACAAGTTTTGACTCTGGAAAGCTTATACCTTGAAAATCTTGTTAGTCTTTAAGGTGCTACTGGACTCATATCTAGCTTTTCTGCTGCAGACCAACATGACAGCCCTCTGAAAATTTCCTTTATGCAATGACCCAAAGGATTTCATGTTCATAGGTTTTTTTCTTTCCGTGGTTTGTTAGTCTTTTTTTTTAATTTTTTTTCCCAAAACTACAAATAAGAAAAAGGATGGGAAAGTTACAAACTATGGGAGAAAGTATAGCAAAACTACTAAAACCCCAAAAGGTGAAGGTACTGTACTTGTTACAATATAATAGCTTCTAGTATATATGGTTAAATTGCATCGCCAGTGAATTAATATTTCTTGCTTACATATGTCAAGCCCAGATAATTTGACTTGGCAAGGCTCAATACAAAAGACAAGTTAATAAAAAGATTTAAACAGACTTCAGAGATAATCAGCAACTCACTTTTTATATCTTCTTTCCCTCAATTTATATCCTTCTTTGGGGGCCGCCACCCGTAATTCCAAGTCCAAGTCCTCTCCAGCAAGTGATTCTTTGCCACTTACCTTTTCTTCATCTTCTTCTCTTGCTGGTTCCTTTTGTTGTCACAAAAACTCTTGTGCTTTCATAACAGAGTCAATTTTTTCTTTCTTGTCTTTAAATTTGAAGAGTAGTCCTTTAGGTAAAATCCATTTGTAAGAGATGCTATTCTTTTGAAGATACACCGCCAAGTCTCTGTATTTATTCCTCTTTTTCCATATTTCAAAGGGAATATCTTTTAAGACTTTTATCTCTTTACCATTGATTTTAAGGATAGTTCCACTTGTTCCCTTTAGGATCTGATCCCTCACTTGTCTTCTGGAGAATCTCACCACCACTTCCGCAGGTAGATTATTTTTCTTTATAAATTCTGAATATGACCTATAGATCACATCCATCTCGCTTATAAGGAAATCCGCTTTTAAATCTGCTACCGGCCCCAAAACATCAGCCAAAGTCTGTTTGAGATTCTCCCCTTTAATCTCAGGAATCCCCTGGAATCTCAGAATGTAGCTTGCTTTTTCCATTTGAAGTTGTAAAAGTTGCGCTTCATCAGAGTTCCTCTTTTTTTCCATCTCCTGCATTTGTTTTTTAAGCTTCTTAGTGTTGGCATCCACTTCCTTCAAATTCTCTGCTGTTTGCTCTGTTTTTTTAACATTCTTGTTTAGTTGTTGCTGTTGTGTGGCAAAGTTTTCATTGAGCATCATCATTTGCTCCAGCAGGAGTCGCAATGCTTCTATTAACATCTTTGAAAAGTCTATGGTTGTGTCTGGTGACCGCACTTGCTGGGCTAGCACTTCCTGAAGAAGGCTTGAGTTTCAGAGGCTTATCTTTCTTTGACTTTTTATTCGACATCTTTGAGGATGTTTACATTTGCTCAATTTTGCCAAAAGTCTCTAAAGTCTGCAGACCTCTTGGAAATCTCTTGTAAGTTCCTTACTGTAGTCCCATATCGCTTTTATTTCTGTCCCCCTTAAACAATCATGCTTAAAGTCCATATTGTTTCTGTGTGTGGGGGGTACCCCCTTGCTTAGTTCAAGGGAGACTTTCAGCAGATTTTCTGTTGCTTGTTTCAACCGGACTCACTGTTAATGTCGATCTGGTAGATCTCGCTTTTCATACGCGTATTCCGCTCGCCCTTCACTTGCTTGTCCCGGTGTGCGTCACTTGTCCCGTGGTGGGAACACAGCGGTGAGACCGTTGGGCATTGGGACGCCTCGATGCCCTGGCAATGTGCCGGCGGAGAGGCGACCCTCAGCGCCCCATGACTAGGAGCCCTTCGCAAGGGCCCCCGGGAGACACATATGATTGCGCCCCCTCTCAATCCGCTGGTTCATGGATCGTGTCCTTGGAGCACCCGAGAGACATGTCCGCCATCGTTTCGCCAAAACAAGAAGTCGTGGTTTGTTAGTCTTAATGCATTTTACCACACAAGACTTAAATTGACCTGTACCACAAAAGCAAGTCCCATGTTGGCTAGAATATATGTTGGCTAGAATTTTTCTTTTTCTTTCTATTTGGAGGCCAAAGTATGTGTGATAGCAGAAGACCCATCAAAGGATCTGCAACAGGGAAAGTTGGATGGGGGAAAGGAGTTAGCTCTTTCTCCACACACTGTTTTCCTAGTAAATAGCCCTCCCAGAACTGCTATCAATCATACATGTAAGCAGACCAGTACCAAATGGGTACCTATCTGTTTACCCTGTTGGGCAACCAGGCATCTGAGAGGAGGCAATTTGCATCAGAAAAGTAGTCAAGATGGGGAGAGTTAACCATTCCTCATTCACACCCAAACCCAATCCACCACCACCACCAGCTGCAATTAACACTTAAAAATTCACAGAAGATTTGATCACGAATCATGCAGTAACATCGTTTCACCCACACATTGTACAAGTGAGGTTCATTTGCACTTTTTAAGTGTTGCATGTCAAATGGCCTCATGTTAGTACAATTAATCAGAAACAAAGGTGCAAAGTACACAGAGATTCAGCCTCTAATGTGGCAAGTGTACATTAGAAGCTACCCTGAAGCTCTTGGTATCCTAAGATTTAATAAATACACAGTTGAGAAATAAAACTTTATGTGGACTTTATATGGTATTGGGGAATATCAGAACATAGCATTGTTCTGCCTTTTAAGCAAAAAAGGATTCTAACAAAAAGCAAATGAAACAAGATCCTATTTATGAGAGGAGAGGGACATCAAAGCACTTGACTTAAGGTACCCCTTGAGGGACAGATGAGTTATGAAGCCTGAATCATACGTTTCCAGGAATTTTGTCTTAGTTTTCCAGTGTATACAGGTTTGGAATTCTTATGGCATACAGAAATGAGGAGTTCTCTTGCAAGTTTACAAGATATTAAGGAAGTGTATTAAGGAACAGCTCCCTCCTAAGACCCTGATGGCAGCAGTGCACCCATGCCAACATGGTGCTGGCACAGCACCGATCGGCATCCTTTGCCTGTTCCACACAGGGGGGGAAACTGACAGAAAACATCCACAGTCAGCATAGTGATGGTGATGGCACTAGCATCCCTAGCAATTCTGCCAACGTCCACTGATTATGGAAGAGTATGCCAGTGATATCCCCATGACACATATTGGCACAGCCAACTGCTGGCTTCCAAAGTGGCAATGGCCCCCTAACGTCACATAGATGCTGCTGTTGATCATGCCATAAGCTCAGCAGGTACTTGGGATCGTACTGAGAATGGCACCCTTCCTAGCCAAGAAGGCTACTTGCAGAGAGACTAAAGAGACACAAGAGTAGTAATAAGTACTGACAGGAAAGAGCATGCGACTGCATGTGGTGCTCAGTTATAATCTGCACCCCTCTTTCCAACTGAGGGATATTGCATATGCATGAAGCCCACTGTTACCCATCTCTTGTGGGGAGATGCAATGGAACCATGTCTGCGCTGTCTGCTGAGGCTGCTCCATGGGGCTGTGTTCCCACTAAGCAATGTTCACCATGGGTGTTTCGCCTGCAGAGACGCAGATCCGTGAGGTGGTTTGTAGTGATTCTAGACACACTGTATCCCCACACACAGTGGAGGGGGGGGGTCACCCCAACACAGGATTGTGCTGACAGCATGTTACTGGCATGTCCAGATCTGCCAGTCTCCCTTTTCAACTCTGTAGTTATGTATTGCTAGCCACAGTTGTGGAAGCTAAGTGTTATTGGGACACAACACAGAAGGGATGGAACACAACACACGGGGCACAAGGGGATGGGGGCAATGGTTGTGGCAGTTCCAGGTGGGGGTTGACCTTCCTTCTCTGATTATCTGTGTGCAGTGCCTTGTCCTTGCACCTCATATTAAGGGAGCAGGGTCTTGCCTTTAGCATCTGTGTCCTAGGCAGTGTGGTGTTAGGCAAATGTCACAACGTTAGTTCTCTCCCTTGGCTCTTTGGGTGAAGGCTCTGAAGTGTGCACGGCATAAGCCAGAGTATGATTTATCATATGAATTAAAGGTAAATAGAGGGGAGCTGTGATTCTCCATAATGGGAGCATTAAAAGTGGCTGCAGATTTAGTTAGCATCCTAACCTGTGCCAGCGCTTGGGGGTGGGGAGGGGGAGGGAGGCGGGGAGGGCACTTCTTTTTGTATGGGTTTATATGGGATATGTCAGTGTTTTTTAAAATTATTTTTGAAGGCCAGACTGAAACTGCTGAGTCAGAATCCATGGATCTCTGCCTAATGGTAGTGCTTTCCTCCAGTGCCTTCAGCATGTGGGTCTAACCTGTTAAGCTTTAATCGAATATGGTTCATTCTCCTTACACAGCATAGACGTTTAATTAGCATAGGACCTACATTGCAAGTGTTACAGTTTCTGTTATTTTTTGTCTTTCAGGGATTTGAGCATGAATAACATCAGCGAGTTGCTTCCTGGTGACTTCCATCACTTGCGCTTTCTAGAAGAATTGTAAGTATAACTGAGCATGTAGTATCTTCTGGGTTGAATTATTCCCCCCTCCCAATTTTGGGGCAAGGCTGTGTATGCTAGAGTTAGACAAATGTAAGTATTTTTGCTTAAACTGCCTCCAAATGTTTAGTTCACTCAGGTCTTTCCAGACACTTTCTCTTTAGCCCTCTGTGTTGGTTGATAAAAACCAGTAGTGCTACATTCCATCAAATATAATGGAAGTGAATGGGGTAGACATGCTGTAGGGGAGATAGCTAGAGTAGACGTGTTGCAGGGGATAATAATTTATCATTTTTAAACAGCCAAAAAAATATAAAATGTTTAAAAATAGAACAATGAAATGGTAGGGGATAATTGCAAGGGAATTGATAGTCTTGCTGGTATTGATATTTTTCAGAAAGAAAGTATGCACTTTCCACATGAATAGAATTTGTTACATGCCCAGACTTAGGGTTACCTGAATGATCCCGTTGGCCTTCAGAACCACAAGGTATAGATAGGGACTCCAGGGCAAGTGATGCTCTGTATTCTTGGTGCTTGCAGGGGGCCAATAGTGTGAGGGCTCCTACTGTCCTGGCCCCACTGGTGGACCTCCTGATGGCACCTGGTATTTTTGGCCACTGTGTGACAGAGTGTTGGACTGGATGGGCCATTGGCCTGATCCAACACTGGCTTCTATTATGTTCTTAACCCCTTCACAAGTACTACAGTGGAGAAACACTTCGCCACTAGGATATCAAAGACAAGAAAAAAGCAAATTTTTTGTAGAAGATAATAAAATGTTAGGAAGCAGGAGTTATGTCGCTTTTCACTAATAAGGCCAGCAGCATTGCCCTCTGTGTGCACATAATACTCATACAATGACATTCTAAACAAAACTCACAGTCACAATTGATGAACTTGCTAAGGAAAGAACTTAATTTACACAGTAACAAACGGCCTTCATATGTCACAGCAAACAGATGTTTGTCTGACAGGCATGAACATCGTTTGTAGCCATGTTTTTGTGTGTGTTTTTTTGGCCCCCCAAAGGGGAATTTTTATTTTTTTGCATTTTCTACACACTACAATTATGGGATGGGGGAAAGGATACTAATACCCTAACACTAATACTATGGGTGATGGGTAAATATCTAATACATATATCTACTTGATAGGGGAAGAAATACTACCATTCTAATCTATTTCATCTACTGGATTTGAGGGAAGGGAGAAGTCTAATACAAGTCACGATCTGAATAGTTTAAAAAATCATACTTTTCAACCTAATATTGCACGTTATATCAAGATTTGGTTCAATTATGATAGTGCACATTTAATACCTTAACACAATTACTGCCTTTAGTGCTATTGGTCTTAGTTCTAGAGTCTTTTCTTCTTGCGTTTCTTCATTTTCTGGAGTTTGGCGGCAGCCTCTCCTTTCTCCGATCCAGATGATTCTGATAATGAGGAATTTTGGCTTGTTGAATCCTGTGAATAGGATTCTTCTTCTTCCTCCTCCTCATCTGGTTTTAAATTCTTTTCCTTCTGCTTCTTTTTTGTATTGAACATTTGATCCATAATTTTTTCTGCTTTTGGAACAGAGTCAATTTTATATTTTTTGTCCTGATAATTGAAGCTCAGCCCTTCCGGGAATAACCATCTGTATGGCATTCCCTTTTTTTGTAGAGTGAGAGTAAGCATCCTGTAGTTTCCTCCATTTTCTAACTTCGAAATTGATGTCTTTCAAAAATTTTACATCTTCATTCTTGATTTTTAAGGATTTTCCCATTGTTGACTTTCGCATCAGTTCTCTCGTAGATCGTTTCGTGAATTTTAGATAGGTTTCTCCTGGGAGTTTGTTTTTCTTTATAAAGTCCGGATAAGTCTTATAAGCCACATCCATCTCTTTTATTAAATCTTCTTGTTTGTAATCCATTAATGGGACCGAGGTGGCAGCCAAAAGTTCTTTTAAATCATCTTTCTTCTCTTCGGGGATCCCATGGAAACGTAGAACGTACATGGATCTTTCCAGCTGGAGCTGTATTAGTTGCGTTTTATCAAAGGATCTTTCCTTCTCTGCTTTATCCACTCTTTTGTTAATGCTTTCAGTCTGTTTTTCCATCTTTTTCAACGTTTTCTCAGTTGCTGAGGTTCTTTTATCCATTTGATTCAGTTGTTTTTGGACATTGTCCAGCTTAGTGTTGAGGTTAGTCATCTGATCCATTAGGGGGTGCAGTGCATTTGCTAACAGTGAAGAAAAGTCTGTAGTTACTTCCTGGTTCTGGGAGGGAGTCGTTGGTATGTTATTTCCGGTCACCAGTTTTTTCTCCGGCGCCCTCCGTTCTCTCCCAGCCATAATATCAACAAGAAATAAGTTTTCCAAAACAAGACAAAAGTTGTGCGATTTAGTCCCGCTTTGTATACTTTAGCAGTTTTTGCATTCACTTAACTTCTTATGCATTTATTTTAGCTCACAGTCTTTTTATTTCCCATTTAAAACTATTTTTAAAGTTTACTCAAAGGGGGGGGTGCTTGAGTTCCTCTCCCCCAGCACTTCAAACTTAGGCGCTTCCAATTACTACCAAGGTTCAGTTTGCTTTTTTCACCTGAGCTTTGCTTAACTCACAGTTTGGAACCTTGGAGATCTTTTGGAAGCATTATTAGAAGTTTGATCGTGGTAGCTTGCTCTGACAGTCGTCTCTGGGTGCCATACTGGCTCCGCAGCAATGGTACCTTTCGGGGAAGAAGGTGAGCCTCAATTCCTTGGCCGTCGCCTTGGAAGAGGCTCTCCTCAGCTCCCCAGGCTGGGGGTCTCCTACAGAGACCCTGGAGAGGTCCGGGACGAACTCGGACCCCTCCTGTCAGCCGGGTCTCGGCACGTCTCTGTCAGAGCGAGATGGCACTCGTCCGAGCGGTGAAACGCTTAAACCAGAAGTCGTTTGTAGCCATGTTGAGACACACACTTCACTCCTCTCTGCCTCCTCCCGTAACATGCAAAATGTGATTGAAGGCTTTTGAGTTCAGGAAACCTTGAATCAAGCTACAGTTCCTTACGATGTCCAGTTGCTGGTGCCTGAGCAAATTAGTACCCCCTTTTCAGAAACCAGGAGGTTAAATTAGGATTAACCTGAGATTTAGAATTCCTGGATCGAATCATATAAACCCCTTCAGTCATCAGAAGAGGCTCTGCTTGCAGTAGAGGCAGGAAGGGCGATTTCTCTCACTTCCTCTTCCCCACTGAAACTGCACATCTTTTTGTCCACCCATTTGGGAACAGCTGGCTCCATGATAGGAAGATCCTTGGCTTGAAACCTCCCAACAGTGTGTGATTGGACTGAGCCCCACAATAGCCAAATTGTTGTGGTGTCCTCAGGTCCAACAAGATTGGGGGTCCCTGATGTACAGTAATGATGCAAGGCCTAAGGCAGAGGGTGAGGTTTTCTCAGCCCTCTAATCCTTGTCTGTGAAAATACTAGGAACTGAACCCAAGGCCTTCTGTGTGCAAAGTCTACCACTGTATTATCTCTACCTCTACACAATACTGCTTTGGAAAGAAAAAAATTATCACAAAAAGAACTCAAGGATAAATGATATGTAGCTATATTGGACCCACAAGATGAAGGATCAGATAGCTAACTGATATTACAGGATGTCAGGTGACTTTTATTGCTCTGAATTCTCAATTTAAAAATTGCATGCTTTTGATGTGTTTGCTTCTGGAAGTGTACCTGATCAAACAAACAAAAAACTTGAATAGAATTTGTTACATGCCCAGACTTAGGGTTTCCTGAATGATCCTGTTGGGCTTCAGAACAAAGAAGTTCACATAAGGTTGTGTTAAGATAGACTTACCTCTGGTTCTTTAGGCTCTTTGCTTTTTTAAGGAAGCACGTGATATTTTTAAACAATTTGATCCAAAAAGGAACCATTTCACCTGCTCTGTGAACCAAATCATATTCTTATGTTTTCTGCCATGGAGACTAATATTACCATCAAAGAAACATACCTGTTAGAAGTGTCTGCCAGGAACTGTCATGCATATGTTCTCAACAGATGATGGCACCACCAAAATAAGACAGTAAAATTTTCAGACAGACACATTTGTCTTCGCTTCACCAGCAGCGTTACTTTATGCACATGTGTGAACATTACTTGATTTCTCATCACTTGATGAATGATACATGAAACAGGAACTGATGCCGTTGAAAGGTACTGTGTGAGGGAAGTGATATGTATGTCCTGTTGGATTCTGTGATGTTTGCTCTCTCATAGCTGTTTCATATCCGCCAACCATCAGCCTGGTGCTGGAAGCTGACTCTGTCCCTTTCAAAAGAATCCAAGGAAATCCTAAGGTTCTGCTTGGAGAAATATATTGTGAAATAGACCTTGGTCAGATTTCTGGCAGGATGCTTAATTGGAGTTGGAGGAAAAGTGCTCCCTTCCAAAGATTCCTTACCAAAAGGGGGAAGAGCCCCAAACACTTTATAGTATTCCGGATTGAAGGTGAAATAAGGTTCCGGGGATGCATGTCCCGAGGTTAGAAGCTCATAGAGCTTATTTAGTGAACAGTAACCTCCCCTCCCCCCAACCCCACCCCCAGAAGGTGATGACTAGATTCACAACAGGAAAATTGAATCCAAACATACAGTGCAGTCCTAAGCAGAGGTATATCCTTTAAGTCCACTGAAGTCAGTGGACTTAAAAGGGTGTAACTCTGCATAAGACTGCACTGTTAGGTTGCACCATTGAATAAAATGTTAGGTTGCACCATTGAATAAAATGGGACTTACTTCCAAGCAGACCCACCTAGGATTGCTCCCTTAGCCATTTTCCCAACACCCTTGCCTCCTAATTAGACACGCCATTACATAAACCCATGGAATTTATCTCATTAGATTAATCTACGTAGAAGTGTCTGGTGGTATAAGTAATTTCTTCCACAGTAACAATGGACAAGAATAATCCTGGAGTGTTATAATCTCTGGCAAATGGTCATTCAGTCTTAGAGTTTGGAATAT